TCTTTCCACCCACCCCTTTTTCCTTCCAGTGACTGTTTTTAATAGTGTTCAATTTTATCATAGCAAATTTTAGCACCTCCCATCCGCCCTCTATTTTCTTACAGGGTTTGGCATTTGCCAAAATTAGTCTTCTCTTAGCAAATATTAGCCCCGCCCACCCACCCTCTATTTTCTTAGTGAGTAAGTCATCTGCCAAAATCAATCTTATCTTAGTAAGTACTAACCCCACACACCCTCCCTGTTCTCATTGTAACGAACTAATTTCTGTTCAGTATAAGGTCGACATTTAAGTGAGTAGATAAAATGAATCCCTGAAATGGAGTGGGGTGGGTGGGCGGGGCTAATTATATGTTTTTTTATAGCGTGGAAATGAAAAACTAATAGAATGTAGGCTGATGGAAAAACAGATGGGTAGGCGGAGCTAAGTTTAATTTTTTCCTACATTCTATTTTAAGCAACCAATAGCTCCTTCCAAACACCCCTTTTTCATTCCAATGACTGTTCTTAATACTGTTCAGTTTTATCTTAGCAAATTTTAGGACCGCCCATCCGCCCTCCATTTTTTTACAGGGTTTGGCATTTGCCAAAATTAGTCTTCTCTTAGCAAATATTAGCCCCGCCCACCCACCCTCTATTTTCTTAGTGAGTAAGTCATCTGCCAAAATCAATCTTATCTTAGCAAGTACTAACCCCACCCACCCTCCCTGTTCTCATTCTAACGAATTCATTTCTGTTCAGTATAAGATCAACATTTAAGTCTGAGTAGATAAAGTGGATCCCTGAAATGGAGTGGGGTGGGTGGGCGGGGCTAATTATATGTTTTTTTATAGCGTGGAAATGAAAAACTAATAGAATGTAGGCTGATGGAAAAACAGATGGGTAGGCGGAGCTAAGTTTAATTTTTTCCTACATTCTATTTTAAGCAACCAATAGCTCCTTCCAAACACCCCTTTTTCATTCCAATGACTGTTCTTAATACTGTTCAGTTTTATCTTAGCAAATTCTAGGACCGCCCATCCGCCCTCTATTTTTTACAGGGTTTGGCATTTGCCAAAATTAGTCTTCTCGTAGTAAGTATTAGCCCCGCCCACCCACCCTCTATTTTTTTAGTGGGTAAGTCATCTGCCAAAATCAATCTTACCTTAGCAAGTACTAACCCCAGCCACCCTCCCTGTTCTCATTCTAACGAATTCATTTCTGTTCAGTATAAGATCAACATTTAAGTCTGAGTAGATAAAATAGATCCCTGAAATGGAGTGGGGTGGGTGGGCGGGGTTAATTATGTGTTCTTTTGTAGAGTGGAATTGAGAACTAATAGAACGTAGTCTGATGGAAAAACGGATGGGTAGGCGGGGCTAAGTTTAGTTTATTCCTACAGTCTTTTTTGAGCAACCAATAGCTCCTTCCAAACACCCCTTTTTCATTCCAATGACTGTTCTTAATACTGTTCAGTTTTATCTTAGCAGATTCTAGGACCGCCCATCCGCCCTCTATTTTTTACAGGGTTTGGCATTTGCCAAAATTAGTCTTCTCTTAGCAAATATTAGCCCCGCCCACCCACCCTCTATTTTCTTAGTGAGTAAGTCATCTGCCAAAATCAATCTTATCTTAGCAAGTACTAACCCCACCCACCCTCCCTGTTCTCATTCTAACGAACTCATTTCTGTTCAGTATAAGGTCGACATTTAAGTGAGTAGATAAAATGAATCCCTGAAATGGAGTGGGGTGGGTGGGCGGGGTTAATTATGTGTTCTTTTGTAGAGTGGAAATGGAAAATAATAGAACGTAGTTTGATGGAAAAACGGAGGGGTAGGCGGGGCTAAGTTTAGTTTTTTCCTACAGTCTTTTTTGAGCAACCAATAGCTCTTTCCACCCACCCCTTTTTCCTTCCAGTGACTGTTTTTAATAGTGTTCAATTTTATCATAGCAAATTTTAGCACCTCCCATCCGCCCTCTATTTTCTTACAGGGTTTGGCATTTGCCAAAATTAGTCTTCTCTTAGCAAATATTAGCCCCGCCCACCCACCCTCTATTTTCTTAGTGAGTAAGTCATCTGCCAAAATCAATCTTATCTTAGTAAGTACTAACCCCACACACCCTCCCTGTTCTCATTGTAACGAACTAATTTCTGTTCAGTATAAGGTCGACATTTAAGTGAGTAGATAAAATGAATCCCTGAAATGGAGTGGGGTGGGTGGGCGGGGCTAATTATATGTTTTTTTATAGCGTGGAAATGAAAAACTAATAGAATGTAGGCTGATGGAAAAACAGATGGGTAGGCGGAGCTAAGTTTAATTTTTTCCTACATTCTATTTTAAGCAACCAATAGCTCCTTCCAAACACCCCTTTTTCATTCCAATGACTGTTCTTAATACTGTTCAGTTTTATCTTAGCAAATTTTAGGACCGCCCATCCGCCCTCCATTTTTTTACAGGGTTTGGCATTTGCCAAAATTAGTCTTCTCTTAGCAAATATTAGCCCCGCCCACCCACCCTCTATTTTCTTAGTGAGTAAGTCATCTGCCAAAATCAATCTTATCTTAGCAAGTACTAACCCCACCCACCCTCCCTGTTCTCATTCTAACGAATTCATTTCTGTTCAGTATAAGATCAACATTTAAGTCTGAGTAGATAAAGTGGATCCCTGAAATGGAGTGGGGTGGGTGGGCGGGGCTAATTATATGTTTTTTTATAGCGTGGAAATGAAAAACTAATAGAATGTAGGCTGATGGAAAAACAGATGGGTAGGCGGAGCTAAGTTTAATTTTTTCCTACATTCTATTTTAAGCAACCAATAGCTCCTTCCAAACACCCCTTTTTCATTCCAATGACTGTTCTTAATACTGTTCAGTTTTATCTTAGCAAATTCTAGGACCGCCCATCCGCCCTCTATTTTTTACAGGGTTTGGCATTTGCCAAAATTAGTCTTCTCGTAGTAAGTATTAGCCCCGCCCACCCACCCTCTATTTTTTTAGTGGGTAAGTCATCTGCCAAAATCAATCTTACCTTAGCAAGTACTAACCCCAGCCACCCTCCCTGTTCTCATTCTAACGAATTCATTTCTGTTCAGTATAAGATCAACATTTAAGTCTGAGTAGATAAAATAGATCCCTGAAATGGAGTGGGGTGGGTGGGCGGGGTTAATTATGTGTTCTTTTGTAGAGTGGAATTGAGAACTAATAGAACGTAGTCTGATGGAAAAACGGATGGGTAGGCGGGGCTAAGTTTAGTTTATTCCTACAGTCTTTTTTGAGCAACCAATAGCTCCTTCCAAACACCCCTTTTTCATTCCAATGACTGTTCTTAATACTGTTCAGTTTTATCTTAGCAGATTCTAGGACCGCCCATCCGCCCTCTATTTTTTACAGGGTTTGGCATTTGCCAAAATTAGTCTTCTCTTAGCAAATATTAGCCCCGCCCACCCACCCTCTATTTTCTTAGTGAGTAAGTCATCTGCCAAAATCAATCTTATCTTAGCAAGTACTAACCCCACCCACCCTCCCTGTTCTCATTCTAACGAACTCATTTCTGTTCAGTATAAGGTCGACATTTAAGTGAGTAGATAAAATGAATCCCTGAAATGGAGTGGGGTGGGTGGGCGGGGTTAATTATGTGTTCTTTTGTAGAGTGGAAATGGAAAATAATAGAACGTAGTTTGATGGAAAAACGGAGGGGTAGGCGGGGCTAAGTTTAGTTTTTTCCTACAGTCTTTTTTGAGCAACCAATAGCTCTTTCCACCCACCCCTTTTTCCTTCCAGTGACTGTTTTTAATAGTGTTCAATTTTATCATAGCAAATTTTAGCACCGCCCATCCGCCCTCTATTTTCTTACAGAGTTTGGCATTTGCCAAAATTAGTCCTCTCTTAGCAAATATTAGCCCCGCCCACCCGCCCTCTCTTTTCTTAGAAGGTAAGTCATCTGCCAAAATCAATCTTATCTTAGCAAGTACTAACCCCACCAACCCTCCCTGTTCTCATTCTAACGAATTCATTTCTGTTTAGTATAAGATCAACATTTAAATCTGAGTAGATAAAATGGATCCCTGAAATGGAGTGGGGTGGGTGGGCGGGGTTAATTATGTGTTCTTTTGTAGAGTGGAAATGGAAACTAAGTACCTAATAGAACGTAGGCTGATGAGAAAACTTTTAAGCAAGCTATGGTCCCTCCCATCCAGCCCCTTCTTATTCCAATGACTACTCTTAATGTTGTTTAGTTATTTATCAAAATCTGTCTTACTTTAGCAGATACTAGCCCCACCCACCCACCCGGTTTTCATTCTAACGATCTTATTTCTATTCAGCATAAGACCCATCTTTCATTCAGACTAGATAAAGTAGATCACTGAAGTAGAGACGGGTGGGTGGGCGGGGTTAATTATATGTTCTTTTGTAGAGTCGGAACGTAGACTGTTAAAAAAAGCGCTAATCGTAAATTTTTTGAACATATTGTGCATTATTTTATTTACCCTCAAATATCCACCTAATTACTCCTAATCAGTATAGCTTTGTTAAGGATTTTTTGGATAGACTTCTTCAAAGCTTTCGATATAAAAATAATTGTTTAGTTAAAAAACGTGAAAAACTAGGACTTTCAGGTTCTCTTCAGCTTTGGTGGAATAGTATTTAGAAAATCGTTCTTAGTATGTAATACGATGTGGAGTAGCACAAGGTTAAGTGCTGAGACCGCTCATCTTTAATATATACGTAAGCGACATCATAAACAAAGTGACATTCAAGCGTTTAATGTATGCAGACGATTTAAGTTTATTTTTAGAAAGTCATTCATCTCAGCCCCTAATCGGGACTAATTCCCTAAATCCCTTCGCAACGACCCATCTTGTACCTTTCACTTCCTGAAGACCGCCACAAATTGGGCAGTATTTACCCAAAATTAGCCTAAGCAAACGTTTTCCGAAGGTCGTATCGTTCCGGAGTGTTTCGACTCCGGCCGCTCCGGCAAGTGCGTGGGCGGTAAATCTCAGTCGACTCCGGACTCCGGCGCTCGCAGAGTATCACCCTTCGTTCCGGCGCGACGGTTCTGCGAAACTCCGGGCGCACTTCCGCGAAACAGAAACTTTTCTTCCAGGCGTCAAAGGTAAGAAGCATTTTACGAGAAATACGACTTTTTTAACATTTTTCATGCTTCAATAAGCGATTTAATTTACTACAAAAAAAAATTGTGTTTGTAACGTACAATGGGAATGCATTTTCGGGAAAAATTCTTCCGGGAATACATGATGACACAAGTTCCGGTGGCTTAATTATCTACACACGTAATCTAGGTTGGCAGACGAGCTAATTAATTAGGGGAAGTTTATAGCGGAGATTTATTAGCCGGGTTGATTTATAATTAAGTTATTAGTTAATTGCTGCGGTTCAAGATGGCGATACTCCGCAACAATAAATAATCGCGCTCTGACGGGTTCAAAGTTCCGTTTACCGTTTATCAGCGATTGATCGCTTCGTTTGCGTAAACGCGGCTTTGACAAGTCCTCAAGTTTCATGTGCATCTGCCTGTGACAGTCTCATTTGGGTTATTGTGGAAGAAGTCCGTTTTTCGTGTCGCTTTAATGAAAAGCGACGCAGTAATAATTTTACGGCTCTGCGTGGGGGTGGAGGTTTAATCATGTTTTTATGGGGGCGGTTAAACTCTTGTGTTCGTATAGCAACTTAGACGATGATAATATTTTCGGCGATCACGGATCCAATAAAAAAATTTATTCTAACACTCCACCTAAATTAGTTACCTTCACACCGTGACAAAGCATCTCCAAAATTCGCAATTTAATTTAATGAAGAGATTAGCGATTTCATTTCGCCGTTTCCAAGTCACTAACCGTCTCACCACTTCTGCGAATGGCGCGCGATATCGTCTTTCGCCCGGATTTGGACTTTTAATTAGGATTTAAATAATTACGCGAAAACAGAACAATTCGCGCGGGAGCGGTAATAATCATCGGAAAAAGAGGTTTTTGGTTGCGTCGAAGCCGTAAACGCACTCCATAAAGGTTAATCAAATTACCGAGTCGTCGAAGGATCAAATTCGAAATTTAAGTTTACGGATTGCGTTTCGTGACCCAATTTGGAAGAGATATAAAGTTTTGGTGAAACGCTCCAACTGTCGTAAAGCTGGAGCGTACACAAGCCGTGCTAAGCTACGGTGCGTTGTAATTGGGATGATTTAAATGAGCTTTACGCACGTGGGATAAAGTTAATTGGTGCAGTAAGAGGGATATTTTGAGACGGTTTGTGAATATTGTGGACTAATTCGGAGTTAGTGCTGGTTATTAATGGATCAAAGAGGAGTCTATTGGTGTTAAATTGAGAGAAATAGTTGCTGTGATTACATCTTGTACTTATAATCATTGATGTTGAAAATCTGAAATCTGCTTCTTCCACCGCTTCCACGGTTCTTGCATTACGTACTAAGATTATACCAAATAAACGTGCGATGGTGGTGTAATGGTCAGCATAGTTGCCTTCCAAGCAGTTGATCCGGGTTCGATTCCCGGCCATCGCATCTTTTTTTCTTATTTAAAAAACCTATATTATATGCTTACAACAATTTATAAACTATCTACATAATAGTTCTTTATTTTTTTTTTACAATAGACTAAATAGTCTCGTAATCGTACTATAGCCCCGCTCACCCACCCCCTTCTCATTCCAGTGACTACTCTTAATATTTATTGTTCAGTCATTTACCAAAATCAGTCTTATCTTAACAAATACTAGCCCCGCCCACCCGCCCTCTATTTTCTTAAAGAGTACGTCATTTGCTACAAGCAAGTACTAGCCCCGCCCACCCGCCCTGCTCCATTCTCATTTTGTTTCAGTGCAGTATTATATTCCAAAAATGGTAGAAATTGGTTCCAAAGATTCCAGAGAATCTTCTAGATTGTAGAGTATTTAAAGGTTCTAAATTTTGAGTCTATCGATTCCAGCCATTCTAGAAATTCTAAAAATTCTGGATACTTTAAAGACTGTAAAGATTTTGGAGAGTCTAGAGATTCTAGAAATTGCAGATATTCCAAATATTCAAGTATTCCTAGACATTCTGAAGATTCCAAAGATTCTAGAGATTCTAAAAATTTGAGAAATTCAAATTAAATAATTAAAATTAATTATTTTTAAAATTCTAGAGGATATTCTCGAAATTTTGAAGATTCTGAAGTTCTAAACATTCAAAAAAAAATCCGGAGATCCAAAGATTTTGATTTTTTGGAGAATTTAGAGATTTTGGAGATTCTTAAGGTTCGAGAAATTCGCGAAATTCTAAATATTCTAGAGATTGTGAAGAGTCTGGAGGTGCTAAATATTCTAGAGATTCTAAAATTTTCATGAAATCTAAAATTTTCGAGGCTAATGGCGCCAGCAATTCTATAGATTCTAGAGGTTCTGGAGATGTTGTGGATGCTACAGATTTTGGAGATTCTAAAGAAGTAGTAGTTTTCAGAAACTTTAAAATCTTCAGAATCATTAGAATCTCTAAAATCTAGAATCTCTAGAACTTCTAGAAACTCAGAATTTTAAGAACTTTTACAATTGCTGGAATCGTTAGATTCTAAAACTTCGAATTTTTGGATTGTTTAGAATTTATAGAATTTTTAGAACCTTCTGATTCTCAAAAATCTCTAGAACCTGTAGAATTCCTAGAATCTTTAGAATCTCTATAATTGGAATTTTTAGAATCTGTAGAATATTTAACATTTTAGAGATTTTAAAAATTCGAGAAATTCGAGAATTTCCCAAAATTCTGGAGATTCTAAAAATTCTAGAGGTTTTAGATATTCTCGAGATTCTGAAGATTCTGGAGTTTTTAAAGATTCTACAAATTCAAAAAAAATCCGAAGATTGCAGAGATTTGGATTTTTTGGAGATTCAAATGATTCTGGAAATGTTAAAAATTTTAAAGATTCTAGAGGTTCTAGAACTAGAAATTCTCTAGAGGTTCTGAGGATTCTGGAGGTGCTAAATATTCTAGAGATTCTAAAGATTTCAAGGAATCTAAAGTCTTACAGTCTAGTGGTTCCAGCAATTCTAGAGATTCTAGAGGTTTTCGAAATTCTAGATGTTCTGGAAATTTTGAAAATGCTACAGATTTTGGAGATTATAAAGAAATAGTAATTTTCAGAAACTATAGAATCTCTAGAATCTTTAGCATCTACAGAATCTCTAGAACTTCTAAAATTTACAATCTTTAGAATCTTTCGAATCTTCAAAATGTCTAGGACTGCTGAAACTGTTAGACTCTAAAATTTGTACAATCTCTCGAATCTCTAAATTCTTTACAATGTTGAAAGTTTAGAATTTATAGAATTTTTAGAATCTCCTGATTCTCAAGGATCTCTAGAACCTGTAGAATTCCTAGAATTTTTAAAATCTATAATCCTTGAAAACTTCAGAATCTTTGGAATCTTTAGAATCTGTTGAATATTTAACATCTTAGAGATTTTAAAAATTTGAGAAATTGAAGAAATTCCAAAAATTCTAGAGGTTTTAGATATTCTCGAGATTCTGAAGATTCTGGAGTTTTTAAAGATTCTACAAATTCAAAAAAAATCCGAAGATTGCAGAGATTTGGGTTCTTTGGAGGTTCAAGAGATTCTGGAAATGTTAAAGATTTTAAAGATTCTAGAGGTTTTAATGCTAGAAATTCTCTAGAGGTTCTGAGGATTCTGGAGGTGCTAAATATTCTAGAGATTCTAAAGATTTCAAGGAATCCAAAGTCTTAGAGTCTGGTGGTTCCAGCAATTCTAGAGATTCTAGAGGTTTTACAGATTCTAGATGTTCTGGAGATTTTGGAAATGCTACAGATTTTGGAGATTCTAAAGAAATAGTAGCAGAATCTTTAGCATCTACAGAATCTCTAGAACTTCTAAATTTAGAATCTCTAGAATCTATTGAATGGTCAGAATGTCTAGGACTGCTGAAACCGTTAGGCTCTAAAGTTTTTACTATCTCTAGAATCTCTAAATTCTCTCCAATGTTGATTGTTTAGAATTTATAGAATTTTTAGAATCTCCTGATTCTCAAGAATCTCTAGAATTCTTAGAATCTTTGGAATTTTTAGAATCTCTAGAATATTTAACATCTTTGAAATACCTAGAAAGTTTAAAATCTCTAGGATGTTTAGAATCTCTAGAATTGCAAGAACCGGTATACCCCAGAACTGTGAATTGCTTTGAACCTTTAAATATTTAAAATCTCCAAAATTTTTAAAAAGATTTGGAATGTTCCGAATATTCCCGAAACTGGTTTAAGATTTGGAAGATACCAGAGATTTCGAAGATTCTAGTAGTTCTAGAGATTGTGGAGTATTTAGAGATTTTTAATTTAGTACAAACTTTGGACTCTAGCGGTTCAAGCCATTCTAGAGATTCTAGAAATTTTCTAAAGATTTTGGAGAATCTAGAGATTCTAGAAATTCCAAATATTCCAAATATTCAAGTATTCCTAGAGATTGTGGAGAATTTAGAGATTCTAGAGATTGTAAAAGTTTTAGAGTCTAACGGTTTCAGTAGTCCTAGACATTCTGAAGATTCGAAAGATTCTAAAGTTTCTAAAAATTTGAGAAATTCAAGAAATTCCAAAAGTTCTAGAGAATCTGACGATCCTGGGCTTTCTAAAGATTCTAAAAATACAAAAAAATCCGAAGAATGCAGAGATTTGGAGTTTGTGGACATTCTAGAGATCTTGGAGATTCTTAAGGTTCGAGAAATTCGCGAAACTTTAAATGGTCTAGAGATTCTGGAAATGTTTACGATTTTAAAGATTCTAGAGGTTCGGGAGATTCTGGAGATGCTAAATATTCTAGGGATTCTAAAAATTTCAAGAAATCCAAAGTTTCAGATTCTAGTGGTTCTAGAGATTCTAGAGATTCTAGAGGGTTTAGAAATTGTAGAGTTTCTGGAGATTTTGGAAATTCTAAAAAAATAGTAGTTTTCAGAAACTTTAGAATCTCCAGAATCTCTAGAACCTCTAAAATTTTGAATTTCTAGAACCGTTAGAAAACTCAGAATTTTAAGAATCTTTACAATTTCTGGAATCGTTAAGACTCTAAAACTTTTGGAATTTTTAGAATGGTAGAATTTA